GGAGTGCAATGGTGCGATCTCGGCTCACCGCAACCTCCGCCTCCTGGGTTCAGGCAATTCTCCTGCCTCAGCCTCCTGAGTAGCTGGGATTACAGGCACGCGCCACCATGCCCAGCTCATTTTTTGTAGTTTTAGTAGAGACGGGGTTTCACCGTATTGACCAGGATGGTCTCGATCTCTTGACCTCGTGATCCACCTGCCTCGGCCTCCCAAAGTGCTAGGACCACAGGCTTGAGCCACCGCGCCCGGCCAGAAGAGAAAATCTTAAACATCAATAAACATATAAAATGGAACAGTAATTACAAATTAAAACAATACTGTGATACTTTCACACTCATAAACTGGGCAAAAACTAATGCCTGATGTTAAGGAAATGTCAAACTTACTTTGAATGCACATTCTGATTCCATGGATAAGAGATCCCCATCGAATGGAATGAGATCTAAGCTGTACTCCTCCCTATGAATAAAGGATCCCAAGACACCCAGATCCTTCAACCGCTGTTCGCACAATAGGCTACGGCGTGGCACAAACAGAATGTGGAAATCTCTCGTTGGGCCTCGTCTATCTTCACTGCAAAGGAAGCAACATTTGTTAGCTTATGAGCTCCTAAGAGTCATGGACCATTTTGCTTTGTTTATCCTTACTGCCTGGCACATACTAGGCACTATAAAGCTGGCTAGATAAATCATATAAATAATGACTCTTAGGTTGGGCGCAGTGGCTCACACCTGTAATCCCAGCACTTTGGGAGAACAAGGTGGGCAGATCACTTGAGGTCAGGAGTTCGAGACCAGTCTGGCCAAATGTGGTAAACTCCCATCTCTACTAAAAAATGCAAAAAAGTAGGCGGGTGTGGTTGCGGGCACCTGTAATCTCAGCTACTCGGGAGGTTGAGGCAGGAGAATTGCTTGAATCTGGGAGGTGGAGGTTGTGGTGAGCTGAGACCGTGCCACTGCACTCCAGCCTGGGCAAGAGATCAAGACTCTATCTCAAAGATAAATAAATAAATAAAATATACAAAAATTAGCCGGGTGTGGTGGTGTATGTGCCTGCAATCCCAGCTACTCGGGAGGCTAAGGCAGGGGAATCACTTGAACACACGAGGCAGAGGTTGCTGTAAGCAGAGATCTCACCACTGTACTCCACCCTGAGCAACAGAGTGAGCCTGTGTCTCAAAAAAATAACCAAAAGCTGACTCTCAGGCCCAAATTTTGTTACAGCCGCACCCACTCTCTCTTTCTTCCCCGACAGAAAAGCAGCATTGAGTTTTGGCTAGTACTTTTTTAGTATTCTCTTCAACTATCTACAGGGCATTAAAGCTCTGAAGGTTACTAAAATAGGTATTTGTGCCTCACTAGGAACAAATGGTTCTTCAACCAAAAGAGTCTTCAGCCACAAAGAGTCTTAAATTAAAATGAAAGATCACTCTTGACTCCCACCCCTACTCTCATTGACAGTGGACTTCCAAAAATAGCCCTTATGCTTTTAAGATCTTAGGGGCTGCATCAATCAATTGTACCACAGAGTGCAGGCTGGGCTAGGAGCACTTCCTCTATAGACTAGATGCTGTATTAAATTTTAATCAGCTCTTTTTTTTTGCTTATGAAATTCAAGTACATGCAGTATATTTAAAAATAACTGCTGGAGGCTTATTTTTTTAAAACAGGGTCGTTTTTACTGACACATGTTTAAACTTCTGGCTATCCTTAAAGAATGGGGTTAGAAGACGATCCTTCTCTCAAACTGCTGAGAACGACTTCCTCAGTTTCCCAGCCTCTCTTTTACATATTTAATTTTGGGGGGTTACATAGCAGGTGTATACATTTATGGGGTCCATGAGATTTTTTTTTTTTTTTTTTTTTATTAAGATGGGGTTTCACCACGTTGGCCAGGCTGGTCTCAAACTCCTGATCTCAGGTGATCCGCCCACCTTGGCCTCCCAAAGTGCTGGGATTATAGGCTTGAGCCACCACGCCCAGCCTATGAGATGTTATGATATAGGCAGGCAATGTGAAATAAGCGCATCATGGAGAATGCAGGGGGGCACATCCTCTCAAGCACTTACTGAGTTACAAACAATCCAATTACACTTTTTTTTTTTTTTT